TCAACATATATGTAAATACACAAAAACACAAACATTATCTACCTATATGTCTTTAAGGGTTGAATTTGAGTCATTTATCCTGCAGGATGCTTAACCCTTTCTGGTCATGCGTCATAGTTGGGTGTATGTCCTGAAGTTCTAAAGCTGCAAACAAGTCCTGAGGATCTAATGAGGGGATTATAGAGGTCAGAACCATCATCCTAAACTTGAAACAACGGATGAACGCATTGAGACATTGAAGATCCAGGAATGGGCATCAATGTCTCTCTTCTTTGGGATTAGAAATAAGTAAGAGTAGAACCCCACCCCTCAAAACCTCCCGCCACTTCCTGCCCCCATCGCTCCTCAGCCGCTGTACAGGAAGCTGCTCCCCGTCCACCCAACCCCCATGCATCTGAACCCCCCCCCCGAGACCACACCACTAAGCTTCATCCCCCTGCACACAGAACCCCCCTCTGAGCCCCCCCACCCCACTGAGCTTCATTCCCTGCATCCAGTGTCCCCCTGCAATGACTCTCCCTGATGAGCTCCACCCCTGCATCCAGACCCCCGCTGAGCCCCTCCCCCCCGCACTCAGACCACTCCCACTAAGCCCCTCACACTCCAACGAGCCCCAACCCCCCTGCACCCGGACCCCCACCTTCACTGAGTCCCACTCTCCCAGGGCCTGGACCCCTCGCTGAGCTCCTAGCACCCAGATCCCCACACTGAACCTCCCACATCCAGACCCCCCCCCGCTGAGCCCTAACCATCTTCACCTGGACCCCCTGGAGTCCCATTCCCCCTGCACCCAGAACCCCCTGTCCCAACGAGCCCCTGTCCATCCAAATCGAGGTGCCCACACCCAGATTACCACACCCAGAACCCTCTCACCCCACACCTGAATCCCCCCACATTAAGCCCCTCCACACTTGGATCCTGCTGGGTTGAGCCTGCCTGCCCCAAACCTGGATTAGGGGCCAGGGCTGGGAGTGTGTGTGAGACATCCCTCTCACTTGCTATCTTGGTGCACTTGGCATGGAGGGGCAGGGCCCTGGGGTGTTTCTGGGGCAGGCCCAGCCCTTGCGCTGTGTCAGGGTTGGGTGCATCTTCACTGCCAAGTCAGTGTCCCGGAGGGGAGAAGTTCCTGGGTGATCTCCCACCTCCATACAGCCAGTGGCCTGTGTGCCTCACTGCCAAGCTGAAGGCGCCACATTTATCTGACAAATAAAATATGCAGAATTTTAAAATATTGTGCACAGAATTTTTAATTTTTTTGGCACAGAATTCCCTCAGGCGTACATGTTCTCCTTATTGTGGGGGAGCAGAGGTGCACAGAGCCAGCCGTGGAGAAGTTGGTCCATGCTACTGGCAGCAGCATCCAGGGGCTGGCTGTGTTGAAATTGTGGCAGCTATAAAAAGTTGCAGTGTCTGCTAAAAACTGCGGTTCAAGCAACAAAACCATGGTCCTTGATTTTCTTACAGCCTTAGTCATTTACCAGACTACCAGAGTGGGCTGAATGAGGAGAGAAGCTGCTAACAGAAAGAAAATTCTTAGGTAAGTAATTTCTCATTCTGTTGCACAGCTTCTCTCCTCATTCGTTACTCACTGGAAATAGTGAGCAGCGAGTCACAGCACTGGGGGTGGAGGGCCGCGGGCGGAATGACCAGAGTTGAATAATTATTGTAGAATAATAGGAATGGAAGTTTGTCCCATTTAAAGCAAGAGCTTTATAAACAAGGAAGTTATGTGGGAATCAACCTAGTAGCACCTTGCTACCAAAGGATACCTCTGTAAAGGAATGGAATCTTACTTTGCAAATCTTCCTCTGATGAGGCTCATACATTCTCCCTCCACTGCCTCTAGGGACTTCTATGAATAGTTTCCAAGATGCCTAGCATGTCAACTGGATTTTTACATCTTGTCTGCAGCATCTTTGAGGCCCTAAGGCATTAGCATTTTGGATAGAATGAAAAGAACAGGGTACAACAAACATATCTCAAGTACATAGAGTACATATCTTTAGAGCTCTAGGAATACCCATTTATGCCACACACTTCCAAGGGTTAGAATAAAATAATGGGAGAGCTGTTTTCCAGGATTTGTGGAAAGATGACAAAGTTACTCACCTTGTGCAGTAACATTGGTTCTTCGAGATGTGTGTCCCTATGGGTGCTCCACTGTAGGTGTGTCTGCAGCCCCGCACTGCTGATCAGAGAACTTTGGTGGCAGTGTCCGTTCAGCCTGCATATACGCTGCTCCTCACCTGCCACAAGGCTAGCCAGCATGTGTAGGTGAACCCTTCTCAGTTCCTTTTCTACCGCAGAGTCAATGACAAGAACTCTGAAGTAGAGGGGGGGAGGGTGTGTCATGGAGCACCTATAGGGGAACACATCTCTAAGAACCATCATTACTGCACAAGGTAACTTTGTCTTCTTTGAGTAGTGTCTCTATGGGTGCTCCATTGTAGGTGACTCCTGAGCAGTGCCCACCACTGCACTGTGGCACCAAAACTGGTGTCTGCAGCCGAGTGTACATACTGAGGACCTTGCATACAATTGAGAACAAACTAACAGGCCTGTAGTTTCCCGGATCACTTTCTCCCCACCCTTTTCTTAAAAATAGGAACTATATTAGCAATTCTCCAGTTAGAGGGTACGACCCCCCAAGTTTACAGATTCATTAAAAATCCTTGCTATTGGGCTTGCAATTTCATGTGCCAGTTCCTTTAATGTTCTTGGATGGAGATTATCCAGACCCCCAAATTTAGGATCCTCTTCATCGTCAGGTCCACATCCCATATCTTAGCTCGTGGCAGACAGTGCATCATTCTCTTCTCTGGATCAGCTCTGATGCCAGGCCTGTCTGTTCTTCTTAGTAGGAAGTCACCAGCCATGTAGTCCTGCTTTTTCCTAGTTATAGTGTGATTCTCCAGCCTTCCTCCTATTCTTTCTGGCTACAAGTCCTCTTGTCTTTTATTCTCCCTTGCAATCTTCTGCAAGTCATCCTGTATCCTTCTGGAGCTCTGAACTCCAGGTATCTCCACTGGCTCTTTTCCTTTTCTTACAGAACTAGTCGCTCTTCTTCCTTGCCCTCCCTCCTTCTGTTACAGCCTGCTGTGCCCCTTCTTCATTTTCCAACTCAACAAACCTGTTTCCTGAGTTCTATTTCTCTTTCACTAGCTGGTCTTTTCCTATGCCTGGTTCTCATAGTCATATGCTTCCACTGGGCACTTTCCTAACCCAGCAGTCTCCTCCTCAAAGCTCTTCAGTCCAGCTTGCATCTGTGAGTCTTGACTTTTTCCTTCAGCCTCCTATCACCTTTCCTCCATCATCTGCTCAAATCCCCTTCAAAACTCAACCACAGTTTCTACCTGCATCTCTAAACCTTAGATCTTCTCTTCCATCATCTCTATCAGGTGGCACTTCATACAAACAAGGCTCTTTTCAGGTACCTGTTCCAGGATCATGTATATCCCGCAGCTTCCACATCGGTCATCTTCATTGTCTCTTCCATTCCTTGGGTCACTGCCACTGCTGCCTCTCTACCTGTCCTAGCCTTCCCACCTGCCAAGGAAGAAGAAAAAAACAAAAAAAAACCAACCAAAAAACCACACCCACACCAAAACAAAACCAGACCACCACACACCCCTTCCCCTATCCTCCCCAGTTTAAAGCTCTGTTTGCTGGCTCCTGTGCTGCTGACTGACTGTATGGCTGCCTTCATAGGACCACTAATCAGGGTTCAGCTTCTCTCACAGCACACTGCCTCCTGCTAGTCTCTGCAAACTGAACAGGAAAAAAAACCAACCACAAAACAGAAAAAATACACACACTGCCCCTAAGGAACAGGGGCTTGCTTCCTCCCTTTTCCTCCAACAGAACTCCCACTTGAACTCCCCTGTTTACAACTCTGTTTGCTGGCTCTGGTGCTGCTGCTGCTCTATACCTTTACAGAAAAATTTATTTTGTACTAATATATGCCTGAAGCAAATTTACATGAAAATAACATTCCCAATCTCTCTCATTTTCATAAAGCATCTACAGGTTTAATGTACACCGGGGATGGAGTGTGCTCAAGTTAAACAAAGAAACTGAGTAAAAGAGGAAAAAACACTGTTTTTTGAAAAAGAGAGCTTCCTCTGCTTTCAAATATGAAAAACGTTGGTATAGCACAACTCAAAATAAAGCAGAACTGTTAACTTAAATTGAGTTTGTGAAACTACTATTTTTGTGTCTGTCTTCTCAAGCATGACTGACGAGAAGAGTAGCTGATGTTTTAAATAGTTTTTATATGAGTTTCAGAAAAGTCAAATACCTTTATTTCTAATTGCAGCCACTTTTTCTTAGGATAAATTAATTACAACAGAATAAAACATTAAGATAGCACATAGTATTTCAATAATAGCATACAAGAGAGGGTCTATCAATGAAAATTTGTTACTACCAATAAATACCGCTTTCAAAAACAGTACAAAAGCATCAGCAATCCTGCCACAAAAAATTTCCACATGTATAACAATAAATTACTCTCCCCTTTTCCATTTCAAAAACTTCACAATTTAACAATTATATTGCTTCAAAGAGTTCCATCACAAACTAGTCTATTTTGATTCACCTGTTAACCTGTACTGCACAAACAGTATAAAAATATTATTTTTGTACATTCCAAGAATGATGACATTAAGCAGTTATTTAACATCAGAAAAAAATTAACACAAAGTATTTTTTGTAAACACAGGGCTTGTCTATACGATGTGTTAGTCCGCACTAGAGGAGTGTGAATTCTAGTGCACACTGGCATGTTGCACATTAACTGGCCCACATTGACCCTGCTGGTGTGCACTATATACATATATAAAATCAATATATTCTAATTTGATCAATATATCATCAAATAATATGACCTATGTTATTAAATACAAAGATGTGCATTAGTATGCTATAGGTTAAAAATTTATACAGTTACAAGATAAAAGAGCAGCAGATTTTAAATGTGCACATATTGTAAAAAAAAAAAAAATATATATATATATATACATACAGCATCTTGAACAATCCAGGTAAAAGACTGACTTTATCCCATGCAAGTCTGCATAGTTCATACACCCAGCCTACCAACATCAACTATATACATGCAAATGTTAAAAATTCTGTTTAAAGTTCATAAACCCTTTTAAGACTCTCCAGGTCTTCTAAAGAAAATTGGTGATTTTGCTTTTTTGAAAGAGAATCAAACAACTGCTGAACCTGCTCTTTTTCATTCTTGCTAAGAAGTGTCAGCACTGCCTGAAAAAATATATTTTGTATAGTTAGTGCATGTAGGTATAAGTCTTCTATTTTTCTGTTAAGTGCTAAATTTAATAAGCTTTATATTGTATTGAGTTTTTTACATTTTGAGTTTGACATTTTCACAGAGAGAAACTGCACTGAATATATCATATGCTCTTACCTTAAACCTCTCAACTTTACTCAGATAAAGAAGGTGCTGATACACAAGGCCAGGGTCTTTCCCAAGTAGATGACATTCCAGTGCTCGCATAAAGATCAGAATGGTATCCCCTTCTAGTTTGTTACTTAGCAGCATTGGCAATTTTTTTGGATCAATAATGGTTAAAAGATCTGCACAGGCAGCTTCATCCTTCTTGACATTCACCGCATTTATAATCTGACCAAACTCATAGGCATTAGATGGTTCTGAAATAAGCAGTTTTTCAGAGATTTTCAATGGCAAACTGTTTTCAGCTCCTCCTTTGGCAACTTGGTAATTAAGCACAGCATCCTCTGAGGTACTGGTCTGTCTCTCCTCTTCATTACCCTCATTCACCTTCACGGGAAAACAACAAATCATTTTAATTTTGACATATATAATATCTCAAGTTTCATAAACCAGATGACAGTATGTCCAGCACTGATACCACTAAATTAGATTTTACCACTTTCCCCATCTTGTGGGAAGACTTTTTGGAACATGATGGCTATTCTCCTTTCTATGTCCCACTTTGCCCTTTACAGAAATGGTATCCTAATATTCATGCAGGTTAAAAGGTTGTTTTTCTTAGTTAACAATGCATATTTTACACTTGTCTTCAGTATTTTGCACCCTCTTCTTAAGGAGAGAGCTGAAAGTTTTTGGCAGAAAACTAAACATAGGACCAATAACATCATAATTTCAAATATACATACTATCTATATGAATTATAGATCAAGAATAGTCATACTGTAATTTAGTCATAGTAAATATCTACTAAAAATAGGCTGTCTTTCAAAACATGAAGAGTCATGAAATTGGGTTAACACAATGAAAATTCTTGGGTCAGCGTCTCTTGAATTTATAATAAAACTTTTCGAGAAAGTTTTAGGGTATGTTATAATGTCTTTGTGCCTAGTCTGCTATTCTTTTCTCTCTTCAATAATCTGATTGTGTTCTCTACTTCTTACTATTAGGGGAGGTTTCTTGATCTCATATGTAGTACATTTTGGTTAAAATGAAAAAGCCAACTTCTAGATTATGCCAGTTACATGAAGTTCCCCAAATCCCTTTGACTTTGATGGGATCCCTGCATGGGACCACTTGCACAAATGGGTCCCTCCCTAATGGTTTATATTACCATCTGCAGTTCCAGTTTTAATAAAAGTTATACAACAGTTTTAAACTGAGAGACCCAAATTCTAATCTCACACTATATAGATCAGTAGCAATATTTCTTGTAATAAAACAAGGAAGAAAGACACCCATTCTTACAGGACCACAAACGTTTAGTCACAGAAATGATTCAGTATTTAACAACAGTGACTCAGTATTATCTGGGCAACAGCAACTCAGTGCAGTTGTTTTAACCTAGTAATATTACATCACTTAGTTATTGTAGTAAAAAAATCAAGGGGAAAACAGCATTCTCTCATGATTTTGTAGATTTTTCACCCATACTCTACTTCTCCAATGCATATTCAGTACTCCATTCTTCCACCAAACTGCCAAGCCTAACTGAAAGTATAGCCTCTGACAGCACACACAGCCACAGGGGACTCCTGGACAGCACAGCCTCTTGCTGGTTCCCCAAAAACAACATTTGAAAGAGACCTGAAATGTTGCATTATCAGATATGACAGATATTTTGAACAGTGTTTTGTTTTTTTTAAAAGAACATATCCTCAACTTTAACATCTGAATGTTTCTTGTTTAGGCATTATAGTCAGTTTATTTTTGCTGGAATTTTGGATGTACCCCGAAGCATTACAGACTTAATTATAAGAGTCTGATTGGCACCAAATACACACAACATTAAAGATGTGAGTAAATTGGCATGTTTTTAAAACTAGCAAGCACATGAATAAACACACTATATGTACGAAGTATTAGCTCAAAATATCTGTCAACATTACAGAAGAAAAGCCCTATTTTAATCTTAAGTGTGTTACTTCAATACTGCCTGCTTTGCAAAAGCAGGGAAATACCTCTTGTATTTTGATTTTCTTCCTTTGCTTTTGCTGGCTACTGGCTCCAACATCATTTTTAAGGTTAAGCAACTGGGTGATCTCTTGTAGTTCCCTCTTTGCTTCAGCCACATTTGGATCTATTATAAGTACTTTGCTGAGATCATCAACACTGGCTTGGTAATTCTGAAAGGCAAAGAGGAGAAGTAAGTTGTTTTCATAAAACAAATTCCAGATGCCACAGTAGGAGAATTAGCTAACTGCCACACTCCTATTCACAATTATTCAGAAAAATGCTGGGATACTGACAACAATGAGCAGAATAAATCTAAATTTAGATTTAAACATGTATAATATTACTAAAGAAAAAAAAAGCTAAGAATGGGTTCTCTGTTCTTTTAAACTATTGTTATGCAGCTAAATATTTACAAATGATCTCTGTAAATATCCAATTTGTGAATAAATTTGCTCAGAAAATCCACCCCCGTTAGTGAATGCATTATTAAATGACGCTGCTTTTATGTGCACTTCCAATCTGGGTGTGTCTGCCCTGTTTTCTCACTGTCTGACCGGACAGCTGTGACCCATTCTGGACACTGTGACAGATGATTTTAGGAAATGTATATGTGCTAGGTCCACCCGTGTTGTGAGACCTGTCATATACACACACACACTACAAATACACTATGTAAAGTGTATTTCTGCTTACGTCTTCAATAAAATTGCAAACATTTTTCTAGAGTACACAAAAAACAGGTGCAAGTTTCTTAGCTTCTTGTATTTCTTCCTATATTATTTTAGGACGAATAAATGCATCACTGTTCTCTGACTACCTGTTTGGCTGGTTAAATCACTCTGAGGTTTCACTGTTACCTATATTATTTTCTATGGACTACAATGACACAAAGAGGTCAATTGCAGCTGATCAATTACAGGTTACTTAATAGAGCTAAGGAAAACATTTAACACAAAGCAATACTTTGTCTTCCCACTGGTTTTGCAGAGAGGTGAAATTTTCCTTTGTTGTTTTTTTTTTTTTTTTGCTGCTGTAGTTTTGCAGATTTTTTTTCAGTAAGTAAAGGAATCTGATTTTGTCATCATGCTTACTAAAGCCTACATTTGGAACTCATAGCAGAGTATGGAGGCAACTGAAGGAAAAAAAGTGTACATTCAGTCTGCTGCATTACTTGGTTTCAAGCGATTCCTTATCTGCATGCTCAACAATGCTCAACATTACATTGGGACAAAGAGTCCTGTGGCACCTTATAGACTAACAGATGTATTGGAGCATAAGCTTCTTTGTCGCTTTTTACAGATCCAGACTAACACGGCTACCCCTCTGATACATTACATTGGGGAGACCTCAGCAGGGGAAGGAAATTGTACGAGTATCAGAGAAAAATTAAAAAACAGTAGAATCTTATTTAACTCAATTCCAGTTAACCAAAACTCTGAGTTGCTCCCTGACATTTCTGCACGCATGAATCAATTACATGAAATCATTATTCAAATATTTCTTATGGACCCAAAATATTTGTACAGTGCTTTAATTTTGCCAAGCGCTTTACCAACATTAATAAATAACCAACATTCCACACCTCTCTTGTATTTACATATCCACTGTAACTATGTGAGTGCATTTGAACGAGAGAGCTCCAAATTTAAAAATGTTTAGGAATACCTGCCTTGTTCTTTTTTCTTACCTGTAGTCCTTTGTATGCTAGAGCTCTTCTATAAAAAGCTTTGACATTAGAGTCTTCTATCTGAAGAACATGATCACAATCCAGTTTAGCCTCTTCATATTGACACAATTTTAAGTAACAGAGAGCCCTAATAGAATACAATAAAATAACAGTTTGGTTTAAGGGAATTGTAACCTATTGCAGTGCCAATAGTTTCTGACTCTCAAAGGTTAACTATGTTGCTTGTTAGAATTCAGCATCAATTAATTTTTTTAAACTTTGGAGTTCTTCAAAAATATTTATAGTACAAGTTATTACAGCATTGGATTTATAATATTTCCACATGGCCAATTTCTGCAATCTTTTCTCAGACAAAACTCAATGAGACTTTCACAGTTAAATTAAACACATGGGTAAATGTTTGCAGTATCAAGGCCTATGTCACCATAATACACCTAATACTGTAATGGGGCATTAGTTCAATAGTGGCTAAGGAAAAAAGAGTGCCACTTAGTAAAACACTACCACTACTTTTGGCAACACTTTTCAGCTAAGTATTACTTGGAGGTCTCACATCCAAGTACTGACCCAGTCAAATCCTTCTTAATTTGTGAGAGTTGATGGGATTACAACAGGTTTAAGCAATTCTTTAAAAATTAATGCTGCTACATTGCTGTTTCTAACCATCCAAAATAGGTAGGGATATCCTACTCTTCAAAGTGGCACCAAGCATATCAAACACTGGGTGAAAAGTCTCTTCCACAGGCACTGCAGGAAGATTTTAAAAGGACACTACATGATCCACCAAATTGTGGAACTGCACAGCATCCTCAGAAGGCAAGTAGCCACTCCCAGAAGTTCATCTGGGATAAACATAATCCATTTCCAAATGCTCCTGCTCAAAGGGAAAGCTACCTCCTCAGAAAGCATTTCTGGCACAACCATCTGTAATGTTGGCAGATCCGGAGGAGCCAGATCCGAGGATCTCAGGACTGCCATATCCTTTTCAATAGAAACATTTCCTGTCCTCCATGTGGAGGGTAACTGAAAAATTCCTGAAGTGGCCCCCAGGACTGCCAATCTCCCCTGCAACTGATTTTGGGGTTGCAGATCATAGGGTGATACAAATCGAGCCACAGGTGTCTACATTCTTCCTCTAATTTCCTCTTGGTAAAGATCCAGGTCTGGATCAGAGGTAGAATGCAACAGGGATAACAGCGGCTCCACAGGGAAATATGAAGATCCATCTCTTTGTGGGGATCCTGTAGGGCCATAGGAGGAAGAAGCATAAGGTGTTCCAGGGAAGAACCAGAGGCACCTTCTGACCAATTCTTCCTAACAGGAGACGAGGACTATGATCTTGGAACCGGGAAAACATGCCTCCTTTTAGAAACCTTATATTTCATATTTGGAACCAATGAATATGCCAGAGCTAGAAGGTGAACTTGGGCTGCCAAGGTGAAAGAGCTCCCTGGGACCAAGGATGTAGCTGGAACTGACTTAGGGACAACAATGTATCCGAAGAAGTAGACAACATCAGATCCAACATTATACACAAATCCATCTCCCTTGCTATTGAAGCTGGGGATGGAATGGGTCTTTGCTTCGTAACGGTAGAGGTCTTGTCAGAATCTGACAGATCCAAAAGTTCTGAGGCATGGGAACTGGCATTGCTACCAGACAGTTATGTCCCTATGCTGCTTTTTCTTCAGTGCCAGGACAGATGGAACTGAAGGAGCTGTTGGCCCCGATTCTGTCACCAATTCATTCCATCTTCCTGGATCTGGAAGTGGAAGTTGGAACTGACGCTGATCCTGCAGCCTCAGGAGTTCAGCCAGGGTCAGTATCTGCAAGCATGAGGGTTGGCACTAGTGAGGGTGGCAAAACTGTCTCTCAACTTCTCTTCCAGAACAGGGTTATTTAGATCTGACTGCATGGCCCTCAATTTGGAAATGCATAGCTTTGGGGGCTTGATTGGGGGAGCTGAAGGAACATGATCTGGCCCTGACAGGGGTTGCAGCCTGTTGGAACCGTTCAGTCGCTGAGAACCACTGGAAGCCCAGGAGCTGAGACTGGCCTCTTAGACGCAAGATCTGAGGACTGATTGGATCCAAAGGGTCTAGCCAGGAGAGCTATCTTGAGACGGAAGAACTGCAAAGCTTGCAAGCTCTGGGAGTGAAGGTCTGAGAAATCAAACATCCAGAAGGTGAATGTCCTCTTCTTAGGCACTTGAGACCCCACTCCTCTCATCACATGCCAGGAAGACAGTTAGGCAAGAAGTGTACCTCTTGAATCTCAGGTTTCAGAGAAGTAGCCGTGTTAGTCTGTATCAGCAAAAAGAACGAGAAGTACTTGTGGCACCTTAGAGACTAACGAATTTATTTGGGCATAAGCTTTCGTGGGCTACAACCCACTTCATCGGATGCATGCAGTGGAAAATACAGTAGGAAGATATATATACACACAGAGAACATGAAAAAATGGGTGTTGTCATACCAACTCTAACGAGACTAATCAATTAAAGTGGGTTATTATCAGCAGGAGAAAAAAACTTTTGTAGTGATAATCAGGATGGCCCATTTCAAACAGTTGACAAGAAGATGTGAGTAACAGTAGGGGAAAAATTAGCAAGGGGAAATAGCTTTTACTTTGTGTAATGACCCATCCACTCCCAGTCTTTATTCAAGCCTAATTTATTGGTGTCCAATTTGCAAATTAATTCCAGTTCTGCAGTTTCTCGTTGGAGTCTGTTTTTGAAGTTTTTTTGTTGGAGAATTGCGACTTTTAAGTCTGTAATTGAGTGTCCAGGGAGGTTATAATTCTTGACGTCTGATTTGTGTCTGATTTGACATTGGCCAAACCGGACAGTCTCTACGCAAAAGAATAAATGGACACAAATCAGACATCAAGAATTATAACATTCAAAAACCAGTTGGAGAACTGAGAGTGCTGTAGCTGACACTGCTAGAAGAAGGTTCTACCACAAGACAGCGCAGTATCCATGCGTGGGAATATGCAGAAACACTTGAAGAAGGATAGATAAGGTTTAAAATAAAAACAATAGTTATTTGAACCACAACTCAATCATGGAAAAATCGAATTCTCTGTTTATATAAAAAGGTGACTCAACTGGCACAAAATTAATAACTGCAGACACAAAAGAGAATCATCATCATATATTCTTATTTAGTATACTTACAAAGTGCGGCAGAGATTTCAGCTCTTTACCTGTTAGTGTAGATAGCACATTCCTTGGAATTTAATTTCATGCACTCGTTGTATTTCATTAGAGCTTCTTTATATTCACCCTTCTTTACAAATTCATTTCCTTCATTCTTAAGGGTCCTGAAATTCTCTTCAGTTTTTTCACCTTGGTAACAAAAGGACTAAAATGTTATTTAAAAAACCATCAATTCATTAAGGGTAGATTAATAATCCACCCAGATTAAGCAACAATACACTGCCCCTGGAGTAGCTTGAGGGTCACGATTTTGATTCCTTGAGTCACAATCTCTCTCCTCGTCTCCCCACTGCTCCAATGATGAAACAAATTGTACCATGTATAAATCTGGCACAGTGTATATGCTCTCCAAATGTGCTGCTATACATTGGGAGAGAGGGCAGAGCCAAAGTGCCAAATTTTAAAGAAAGTCAAACCACTAAACTGGTGAAAGTCACTGGCTCAGCACCTGGAACCGGAGTTTGTTGAAGTGCTAAACCAGCTTTTCACAGCAGTAGTAATCACAAGTAAAAAATTAATCGTATAGTAAATAGAAAATGTTGAATGATGTGTTTCTTAACATAATAAAAAATCCAAAAATTAAGAATCTGAATAAATGTAAATTAAACTACATAATGTCTTAAATAAGTGTATATAGATGTAGTGTATCTCCCTAGTTAGCAAAAAGAAGCACCAAATTTAGCATAAAGGCTATATTTAGTTGCAAATCAACACGTTTTAATGTTTACCAACCAAAGAGAATCAACTTTCCTTTAGGAAAATAACTACAAAGTACAAATGCAAAACACAATTAAAATTGATTTAAATCATGATTAAAATCAATGATTTAAATGACTTTGATTTTAATCAATCCACCGTGGTTACACTTGTCCTCCCTCCCACATTCCCTCCTTTCTGTTTCATCCTCTTGTTGCATCTTGTCCTGAATTAGACTGCAAGATTTTCTGGGCAAGACCTCTTTCTTATGATGTGCTTGTAAAATGCACAACACAGTGGGGCACCAGTCCCCACAAATAATAATTAACAATAACATCATAGCCCTTAGTGTGCAACAATGAAAATCTAAATTTACTGCTATTAAAAATCCTGCTAGGCTTAAACATCTATAATTTCTTAGATTCAGTAAACCAAATATAAAGAGACCCACATGCTTAACAGACTGTATACACAAGGATCATTTTAGCCAATAATGAAACTGAATAAGGTCTAGGGGTAAAACATGGCAGCCATTCTGCACTAGAAACACTACACAATAATGTACTTAGGGGAAAATAAAGAATAACTTACCCAGTTGAAATCAGAGGGGAATTAGACAGGCAGCATGTAAATAGCCTGAGTCAGAATGTGGCCAGGACACCAGGACTAATTCCTCAAACTGTTACTAAGAGTGCCAGGTGACCATAGATTTTATATCTGAAAGAAGTACTGTCCAGTAGCCCTGCGTTCAGGGATTAGCCTACTTGAGCCAGCTAGTGTGTGTGTAACCTCAGACAGATTTGCCCATGCAGTTTTTGCTGTATAGACATATCCTAAGAGAAGACTATCACCTTCTCGGTTACCCTTCACCAGGGGAAGTGATTACGCAGACTTAATTTAATCCCTTTGTAAGTAAGTAAGTAAGTAAGTAAATAAATAAATGTATGTATGTTACGAACCTGTTCTATAACTGTTGTTCTTCAAGATGCATTGCCCATGTCCATTCCACTTCAGGTGCGTGCCCACCCAGTGCACAGTTGTCGGAGATTTTTCCCTCAGCGGTACTCTTTGGGGTGGCACATGCACCCTCACCTGCCTCACATCACCATACCAAAAAAAAAAAAGGGGCAGAGTTGCCCCCAACTTCCCTGCGTTGTTTTTTACCAAAAGACTCCAATAGAGAGCGGAAGGAAGGTAGGTTGTGGAATGGATATATGCAACACATCTCGAAGAAAAACAGTTATTGCGAACAACAGGTTAGTAATCATTTTTCCTCTTCAAGTGATTGCACGTATCCTTTCAACTTCAGGTGACTTTCAAGCAGTTCAATCTGGAGCTGGGGGATTGGAGTCTCCCCGAATGATTGGAGGACTACACATCCAAATCTGGCATCATCTCTTGATTGCTGAGAGATGACATAATGTGAAGCAAAGGCATGCGCTGATGACCAACCAGCCCCTTTGCAGATATTACTCCTGGGTGAAATCTGCGCCACTGTGCAATGCAGAATTTGCGCAGAATTAATGTTCTACGAAGAAATTCCTTTTTCCCTGCAGAATTGGCAATGCAGAGCTGTGGGCCACCACTAGGGGCCACTGGACCCGGCAGAGTCCAGCTCCCCAGCTTGCAAACAGACACTGCCAGGGGGAGGGGGAGGAGCAGCTGGAGGGTTCCAGGCAGCTGCAGATCCCAGCACACCCTTAAAGAAGGAGGCATATGTAGGAAACTCCATACAAGCCCGGGACCCAGCATCAGGCTGTTTCTCACTCTGGATCCCTGGGCTATGGGGGAGAGAGGGGTGAGAGTGTCTGGGCCAGGGGGCCCTGTTACTGGGCTCTTGGGGGAGGGGGCCCAGGTGTCTGGCCCCCCAGCTGGGCTCTGAGGGGGAGATGGGAAGAGAAAACAGGAACTGTGGTGTCGTAGGGGTTTCTTTAATTCTCTACTACTGGGGGAATTTTTTTGTTGTCTGTATTGTTATACACATAGCTGCTGACAGGTATTTTGAAATAAATTACCCAAATAATTGAAACTGGCATGATTATATAGTGTTATTTTGACAAATGAAATTTGCAGAATTTTAAAATATTGTACACAGAATTTTTAATTTTTTTCTGTCATAGGACTGGAGAAAAATGAGTGATTATCAACTGGCGGGTGGAAAGCCAAGATAGCTGCTAGGTGGACCTTGATGGAACTAATGGCAAGACCATGTTGTTACAGATATAACAAAAATAGTCCAGCACATGACGGATTGGAGTCCGGACCAGGGAAATGCCTTTCTAGTATGACCAAATGGAGAATCTTTTCCAGGTAAGTAAACCCAGTAGAAGGCTTTCTACTGTTTAAAAGTACATCCTGAACCACCTTTGAACAAACCTCCTCCTTAGGAGTTAGCTCAGAGCATCCAGGCAGTCAGGTGGAGGGGGCAACCAGGATCCTGAGAGTTCGAGTCGGTATCCAGTGGTAGTGGCAACGGAGATCTGGGAGACACGGTCAGTAAAGTGGAAAATCAATGTTGCCAAGGCCACACTGGAACTAGGAGTATGACTCAAGCGTGGTCCTGCTTGATTTTCATCAACACTCTAGACAGAATTGGAATTGGAGGAAAGGAGTGAAGGAGCTTGTCCAGGGCAACAGGGAAGCATCCATCTGAGACCTTAGACTGTGACCTGCTCAAGGGCAAAAGTGATGACACTTTCTGTTGACTGTTGTTGTAAACAGGTCTGTATGGGGAGTCTCCCCCAATTTGAAAATGAATCTGGCCTTGTCTGCACAGAGACACCATTCGTGGTGACTGGTGAAAGATCTGGTTAATCAGCCTGCAAGATTGTTTTGAACACCCAGAAGGTGAGAGGCCTTGAGATGGAGTGAGGTGGAAAAACAAGAATCCCACAGCCACATTGCCTCCTGGCATAGCAGAGTCAAATGGGCCCCTCCTAGCCTGTTCACATAGAACATGGCTTCTGTATTGTCTGAGAGTATGATTTCTTCCCTTGATATGGGGAAGGCAGGCTTGACAAGCTAGCTGGACAGACCTCAATTCTCTGACATTTATATGTACAGTTAAATCCTGAGCAGACCATAAATCTTGAGTCTGTAGGAACCACAGCTGAGCCCCCAGGGTCAAAGCTGGTTGAGAAGGAGCAAACAGAACCCCATACACTCATTTGAAGGGTCTGTCCACCAATATAGAGAGGCCAAGATTTGAATGGGCACCTGAACCACCATGTCTAGGGGATGACTAATCAGAGAGTACATAGATAACAGCCACCCTTGCAGCTTCCGGCGACAGAGGCTGGCAAGCCAAACTTTGTAAATCCATGAAGCTCTATGCCCCAGAAGTCTGAGGCAAGTCTGAACTGTCATGGTAGGATGGGCCTTCAGGTCTAACACAATGGTCAGCATCATCTGGAATCTTATCTGGGGAAGGAAGGCCTTGGCTTTGGAAGAGTCCAAGACCACTCGTACAAAAGAGAGAATTTATAGAGATGACAGGATTAACTTCTTGTGTTGATGAGCAACTCTGGTGAAGTTGGAGTGGTTGACAGACACACCAGACAGTACCTATGCCTTGGACTGTCCTGTCACCAACTAGTCGCCTAGGTAGGGAAATCTGTTAACTTCTGACTTCCTCAGGAATGCTACCACCACTGCCATGCACTTTGTAAACACCCATGGAGTTGCAGACAGGCCAAACAGCAGTACTGTAAACTGGCAATGGCACCAATTTACCAAAAACCTGAGGATTTTCTGTGGCTTTGATGCACTGCCACATAGAAATATGCATCTTTTAATTCAAGGACAGCATACTAGTCTCCAGGATGGGGATAATGGAAGCCAGTGTAACCATGCAAAACTTTATTTTCTTCAGATGTTTGTTGAGCTGTCATAGGTCTAGTATGGGTCTGAGACCTCCCTTTCAGGATCAAGAAATAATGGGTCAGAGGAATAAAATCCCTTTGCTCTGTATAACTGAAGAACTGTCTTTATGGCTCCCAACTGGAGAAGAGGTTGCTTCTTCTCTCCTCATGAGAGTGGTCTCTTAAAAGGGATGGGGAAGGAAAGTGGAAGCAGGGATAGAAAGAAACTGAAGAGTGTATCCCAATTCTACTGTGCATAAGACCCACTGATCTGTAGTGATGTTGCAGCAAGCACTTAAGGTAGTGAGATAACCAGATGGCAAACCGTGAAGTAGGAGAGGTTGGCAATCCAGAAACTAGTAGGCTGACCACGACAAAACACATCAAAATATTTGCCTTAGAACTTCCAGGCAGTCTAGATGAACAAGCATATATTGCAGAAGGAGAGAGCGGTCTTCTATAACATGTGCCCTTTTTCCTGGCCAGGTCTTTGTGATGAGGTGTGAAAGAAGGATAACAGTGAACCTACTGAGGACAGAACAGCTTCCTCCTTAGTGCAAGTGTATAAATGCC